CTCTTTCCCAAGCTGCTCTGAGAATGTACTTTATGTACTGGAGTGTTTCTGATGTGGCTACAGCAATTCTCCTGCTTGACCAAGGTGCAATTGTTCATCAAACTCCAGCTTGCCACTTTTTACATGAAACTTAGTTGAATCTGTAGCATTAGTTTCAGGAAGCTGACAACTGATAGTTGTCCCACGCATGTAACGGATGCCAGAAGAGAAGAGTCTGATTTTCTAGGCTATGTGCATGTAAAATATACTTTATATCTTAATGTTTCCCTCTTTCTTTGTTGGGTATTGCTTCCTCACTTAGGCTGGACAGGAGGAGACGCTCATGCCTTGCACTTAACCTACTGTTGCTGTAGCTGGATGCGTTTTGCCTTGGGGCAGGATTGAGTTGCCTGAGTGTGGGCATCACATGTAACCTGAGACCTCTTTGGGTTTCTGGGACATCCATAGAAAGATCTAAGACCACCTGTGTCCCTGTGGAGTAACAGCTGGGGCTTGGGTGAGGCATTTTGCAATTTCTATAGCAATATGAGGTGCCCACCCTAGGGATGGATTAGAAAGCACCTGCCAAAGCTGCTGAAAGATTTGCAGCTTCAGGTGAAGACCAGGGGAGAGGGATGGTTGAGTGGATGCCGTGTTTCTGCATGTTTCCATGTGTGCTGCCACACAGGTGATGGATAAAGCTGCTTTGGGGATTGCTGTTTATCAGCCAGCTCAGTGTGAGCATCTGTGTGGGCATGTCTGGGCTTTGGTGATGTTCCTATAGGGCTTGTGGCTATTTACCTCTCATGTCTTTGATGCAGTACCCAAGTGTTAATTAAATTAGAGAGGAGCCCTAGTGGTTTATGCATTTCTTGACCTCTCTGTCATGACAAAATTTGCAGGTTATTCTAAACCTTTTTCCTATAACATGTTAAATCAAGCCTGGAATAGCAACTTCACAGCCCCTTGCCAATGCATTCAAGTACTAGATAATATTGACAACGTGTGTCCTGCTACTTGACGCCAACGGTCCCTTCTGTGCCCTGTGCTGCTCCTCTTGTGATTTTTCTGAATCAGTATTTACTCTGTCTTGTTTATCTCAGTGCTTTGTTGTCAGCAGAGAGTGAACGTGTCCCTCGTCCCCACAGACTGGATGTGCTCAATGCCTTTCCACTGGGTCTCCTTTCCCAGTTTAAGCCCTTCACCATCTTCTGTTTCCTCCTTGCCCTTAACTCCCTCTCCTCTGATTGAATGTGGCATGTTCATAGAATCATAGAATGGTTTGAGTTGGAAGGGAACATAAAGATTCCAACCCCCCTGCCATGGGCAGGGACACCCTCCATCGCAACAGGTTGCTCAAAGCCTCATCCAACCTGGCTTTGAACACTTCCAGGGATGGGGCATCTGAGGCCTGAGGCAATGCAGCCAGCTAGAGTATTTTACTGTGCTTTTCTCCAGATGCAATGAACCATTCCGGTGCAGTCCTGTGCTGACTCTGCTTTGCTGGTTGTGTTGATCGAGGCCTGACTCTACTTGGGCTATGTTCTTGTTTCATCCCTGGGTCTGAGATTTCCCACCAATGGAGCAGGGTTATGCATGCAGTGGGTGCACTTCCTGCCTGATCCAGCCCCTTGCAGCCCCCCTGAAATGAAGAGCTCTGAGGACCTGCTTGACCAAGGGCTTTCTACACCTTGCCTTGTGGTGGGGGTGACCACATGCTCTGCTGATGGGTCAGCATCACTCCTTCTGCTTTGTGTATTCTATAGTTTTTAATATGATTCATCCCTCATTTACTGCGTATTTGTGATCCTTTGTCCATCTCACTCACTTCTCTGGGTTGGACCATCTAATGGCAAGAATTCATCCTCCTTCCTGAGGTTTCACCTCTGGGTTGGTAGCTTGATTGCCATCCCTTACGTGAATTTAGCATGCGGTGCCTTGATCTGTCAGAAATAACAGCTTGGATGTGGCAATTGTACAAGGGAGGTTGATTTTTCTGGTCTCACACTGAGCGGTGCCTGTGTCTTTTGCTGTGCTGTTGCTGCTTGGTTGAAGAACATAAGCCAAAGTGGGAATAAAAAAGAAAAGGCAAGAAATTACTGCTTTTCACACTTTTCAAAGTGTGCAAAAACATATTGTGCTTTTATGTGACACCACAAGGGTTCACAGCAAAAGCCACGCATGGCACACTCCACCACTTGCGAAGAGCTTGTGAGAGGTCATGGCGCTTCAGTGTTCATGGTAGCTGGGGACCAGACTTGCGGGATCTCCTTCTGTCTCTGTGCATCCCTTTACACCTCCTTGCAGCTTTCCTGGCCTGAATTAATTGACAGGCACTTCGCTGAGACAGCAGAGGGCTGGATGTGTAGAAAGGGTGGGTGTGCAACATCTTACACCTGCCTGAGCGAGGGTTGCCATCATGCCCTTCCTTGCCTCTGTTTGTCTTCATGCCCCATCCTCCCACCTGCCCTCACGCTGGTGGTGTTGGGTGGTGAGATGTTGTCCAGCCTCTCTTATCCCTATCCACATCCAATGCAGAGA